GACCTAGGCAGAGTAAAGGTCTGATGCGGTAAGTCAATTTGTGCCGAAATTGCATATGGATCGCTAGGCATTAAAATTGGTCAGTTATAGAACTTTCAAGCAACAGAAACTTGTAAAATTGTAAAGCCAGTTCCGAGCGAGCTGCGGACACCGGGCAGGTTTGGCACAAACCTAGGCCAAGTAATGGCCTGATGGAATGAGAGTGTTTGTGTGTCCGAAATCATCCTTGGGCTGCTAGGCTTTAAAGTAGATTCGTTATTGAACTTTCAAACGAAGATGCGGTGGGCACAAACCTAGGCAGAGTAAAGGTCCGATGGAGCGAGTCTATTTGGGCGGAAATCAGCCTTGGATCGCTATCCAGTAAAAGAGACTCTTTATTGAAATGTCAAACAAAAGAAACTTTGAAATGTAGTGTCAAGCGACCCGAAAAGTCTATTTGAGATCGTCCTTGGATCGCTAGGCATTAAAATAGATTCGGTACTGAACTTTCCAACAAAACGTAGTTTTAAATCCGGTACCTACCGAGCGGACCGAAAGCGAGTTCGGCACAAACCTACGGCAACTACTGTGCTGATACGGTAAGTCAATTTGTGCCGAAAGTTCACTTCGATGGCTAAGCATTAAAGTAGTTCGGTTATTGCACTTTCGTACCAAATAACGTTTTACAATCAATGCCGGGCGAGCCAAAGGCGAGTTCGGCACAAATTGACAACCCCCATTAGAGCTTTGCTATGATCCGATTTGTGCAGAACTCGCCCTCGAACTCGGTCTGGTTTTAGAACTATCATTTGCTAAAAAGATTAATACTTAGTAGGCCTATTTTCACGCCGAGCAATCCGAAGACGAGTTAGGCACAAATGTAGGCGTAGTAAAGGTTTGATGCCGTAAGTCTATTACTGCCTAAATATTCATTGAATCGCTAGGAGGAATTGTTTCGGAGATGTGTTGTATTTTCTGAAAATGTGCCGAAAATTTGAAGATGTTTAAGACATTTTGGAAACACTTCCCAAATTATTCAAAGAAATGTTGAAAAATTACAAGAAAATTTGACATTGTTTCAGGAATTCTTAGATTATTGAAAATACTTCAAAAACGTGTAATTTTAATAATACAGAAGAAATGATATTTTGGAAATGTTTAGAAAAATTAAGAAATATTGCAGAAGTGTCGGAAATGGGCAAGAAATGTGTATGAAATTTTGGATATGCTTTCCAATTTCGCAAAATTTGTAAGCAATTATGGCAATGCTACATACGCTGTTTCAGTGACACATTAAATTTTCTGTGGGAAGTGAAAACCGTTTCCCGATGGAAATGCGCGTGTCAAGAGAAAAAATTTAAATGCAGTTTGTGGTACCCGTTTTCTCCGTCGGTCTACCTGTTTGTACCGTAACCAAATTTTTCTTTGTCTTGATTCATGATAACAAATGTCCAAATGAATTGTTGTAAATTGATTTTTGTGGGTAAACGTCTAAAGGGTGGATGCCCCAGATGTGAATTTTTCGCATTTTACTTCCAGTAATGCAATTATTTGTGAATTAAAATCTAGGGCTCAAATATTAGAAATTGAAGTGTTGGAAAATATGGATTTTTTCCAAGGTTTCGAGCGAGGTTTCGCGTTTTTATTTATCAGAGTTCATAGTAAAGTTAGAAGTCAAGTATTGGGCAAGTTGACGTAGACGTATTTTCCAAAATTGACTTATGAACTAACTATTAAAGCCCAAAAAAATTTGATACTGTTGAAAAAATCAAAAAACTCGAAACATTGAACGTTTTTTGAGTACATACAATTTTTTTAGGGACGGTTACATAACGAAAGTGGGGCGATCATGTAAAGAAATTCGACTCACCAACGTTAAGGGATGCTTATGAATTTGATCGGAAGGTAACGGTTGATCCATGAGGACCGCTCTAAGGTGCGCTATGTAGCTGGTCGCCAATCTCAGCGTATCCAATTTGGACAACTTCGTATCGGCAGGTACCCAAGGTAGGGTAGTTTTTAATCTGCAGAAGGCCCTACTCAACACTCTCATTCGCGCCCTTTCTCTCGCGTTCGCCGCGTTTCTTTGGGGATGTTTTAGATCGTCAAAGTCGTCGTCCGAATCGCACGAATCTATCTGTCGACGTTTTCGAGGCATTTTAAACAATTAATCGTGCGCGAAACAAAGCGGAAC